AGTACAGAGACTAGGCACGGTGGCTCCTGCCTGTAATCCCAGCCCTTTGGGAGGCTGAGGCAGGTGGATCAGGAGATCAGGAGTTCGAGACCAACCTGACCAACATGTTGAAACCCTGTCTCTACTAAAAATACAAAAATTAGCCAGGCGTGGTGGTGCATGCCTGTAATCCCAGCTACTTGGGAGGCTGAGCCAGGATAATCGATTGAACCTGGGAGGCGGAGGTTGCAATAAGCCAAGATAACGTCACTGCACTCCACCCTGGGCAATTGAGGGAGACTCTGTCCCCAAAAAAAAAAAAAAATAGAGAAGTACAGAAACTGATTACTCTGTCATCACTGGAAGCATAAATCCTAACAAGCCATTTTTATTCTTAGATAAAAGAGATAAAGCAGATTGGCATAGGTGAGGCAGAATAAGTGTAGTGAGGGAGGCAGGGGCATTGAGAGTTAAAATAGAGCCAATGACACAAGGGGTATTACAACATACTACATCTATACTTGAAAGTAAAGCAAAGAAAAAAAATTAAAATTGAGAAGAGATAAACTTCAGGGATTGAGTGAACAGCACACAAGGTGAAAAGATTTTGTGGGAGACCATAAATCTGAATAGAAGTCAGGAGTGCCTTTCTCTCCTGCCAATTAATTTTCCCACATTTTGCCATTAATGTTTAGAAAATTAGCCATCCCCCAATAGCTGTCTTCATAAGACATAATAAAAAGAAACCAACAAGAATTTATAAAGTATTGCAAAAACGGAAGACTAAATGAATAAAACCCCAAATTTCAGTGAAGAACATGCAGTGGATAAAGGAATCACCTAAGTAAAGATAAGAAATCGGTAAATCAGACAAAATTACTCTATTTGCAAGCAAATTAATGAAATGCTATATTTTAAATTGCTTTTATATAACAAAATGTCAAAAGAGTTAAAGTATTTCATTATGATTCATAAGATAATAGATGCAAATGAAAAGTAGATTGAGAAAGATCAGGAAACAAGTGAACTAGAAAACAGAAATAAAAGCTTTCAATTGCCCTCCCTCAACCCAACACACAAAGAGAATAAACATAATTGAGAGTTATAAAGAACAAATATTAAAAATAAAAAAGATAAGAATTATAGAGAAAATATTAAATGTAAAGGCAAATGAGACAAAAAAGAACATAGTGTTCCTAAACAAAATAAATGGACTAAATTGAGGAGAAAGAAGAAAAAGACACAAGGGAAGAAACTTGCCTGGAATAATAGAAGTCTAGGCAAAATAGCTGAAAATTACTATTAAGGCATGCTGTGCTAAAATTTCTGAACTTCAGTATTTATTAAAGAAGTATAAGGGCTCTTGGGCATAAACAGCAAATGGGCCACAGAGGAGACTGGGTGGGAATGACTGGAGAGATTAGACACGACATCAGACTTTGCATTAATATGACAATGAACCATTTCTTCACAAACATTTGAATAGGTCATGTGACCCCAAAAATTATAACCAGTGAAAATTGCTGTTGAGGTACTGAATAGTCATGAAACTATATAAAAGTGTGATGCAGAGGATTAATTGAAATATATATTAAACACTAGGAAGATGGGGAAGGAGGGACACTGAGTATGAGCTTTGTGATTGCAGATCAAAATTACGTTATGATTTTTGACATTCTAAATTTAACAGTAAGATTTTTTTAAATTTCAGAGGTGAGTAAAAAGAAAGTGGGATAAATAGAAATACATTATTTTCATTTTTTCACTATGCTTTTTATAAATAAAATGTTATTAAAATAACATACTTTAATATTTTTCTTAATGACATCATTTAGATAGTGAGAAGAGGTTGCGGTGAGCCGAGATCTCACTGTTGCACTCCAGCCTGTGTAATTCCGTCTCAAAAAAAAAAAAAAAATCTACTTGACTTTCAGCAATGCCTTTAGTTATACTTATTATATTTTATTGCTAAATTTTATATAATTTAATAATTTACCATTTTAATATAATAGATACATAATTCTTAATTTTTTATCTCTCTCTACCCTCTCCTACCTCACCTCTGTCTCTCCATAGAGCTATAACTAGAATAATTATACTAATATTTAAAGATAATTATTTCAAAATAGTAGGCTTTAGAATAGAAACTTTACAATTTTTCATAATTATATTTTGGATTAATTTAAAATAGCAGATAAAATTTGTATATAAAACAGTAATTTTTAAAAAGAAAATCAATAATTTTTTAAAAGAAAATAACTTACTGTGTAAGTTTTGACACTCCTCTCAAATAAGATTAAATGTCATAAGTAAAACCCAAGTATACTTGTAAATATTCAAACATATTGGTATATATCTTGGCTCAGCAAACATTTTTCCAAAGGGCTATGAATAAATATTTTTGATTTGTGGACCATATAGTCTCTGTTGCAGTTATGCAACTCTGGTACTGTATTGGGAAAGCATCAATAGACAATGTGTAAACAGATTGGCATATTCTAATAAAACTTTATTTACAAAAATAAACAGTTCAGGGTCATGGTTTGTTGACCCCGGTATATGCATCATCAGCTTTAGTGATTAAAATGTTATCAGTCTTTCTCAGAAATACTGACGTAAGAAAACTAACACAAGGTATTCCTGAGGTACTGATTTTATATTCTTGCTCCAAATATTTATTACTATAATACTTAGCTTTGATGAGAAAGGGGAAGTGTTGCTAAATTATTTACATACATATTCCTATACATACAAATTTTAATATCTTTTGATGTCTCAAAAATGCCGACATTTAAGCAGGAAAGAGCATATTTTGCTTCTTACAGTTCATATACGCTATACTCAAGTTGACTTCTGCCTTTCCATTTTACATTTCTAACCTTGATCTCAGAATGGAGGAGCTGGACTAGATCGCTGAGTGCACCAAGTAGATTTCATTCACACAAGAAGAAAATTTACTGCCACTAAAATTAAACAGTTTATCCATGGGCACCATGGTAGTTCTTGCCAAAGTCAGACTGGAATTCAGTCTCCTGGCTCACATTGCAGAGTTTTGCCCACTATACTATATTATTAACAGGGCTTGGTTCAAGCCACAGAGGAAGGTTAATTATGTATTCAGATAGTTACATATATATATGTATATATATATGTATATATGTATTCAGATAGTTAATCTGAATAATATATGTATATTCAGATAGTTAATCTATATAAATATCTATAAATATATATATTTATAAATATCTATATAAATATATAGATATCTATTTATAAATATCTATATAAATATGTATGTATATATACATATGTATATAAATATAAATGTATATATACATATATATATATATATACATATATATATATTTAAGAGGGAGTCTTTCTCTGTCACAAGGCTAGAGTGCAGTGGCACAATCTCTGCTCACTGCAACCTCCGCCTCCCTCCCAGGTTCAAGCAATTCTCCTGCCTCAGCCTCCTGAGTAGCTGGTATTACACGTATACACCACCACACCTGGCTAATTTTTGTATTTTTAGTAGAGATGGTGTTTCAACATGTTGGCCACGTTCGTCTCAAACTCCTGACCTCAGGTGTTCCGTTCGCCTCCGCCTCCCATAATGCTGGGATTACAGGTGTAAGCCACCATGCCTGGCCAACAGTCTGGTTATTATATTAGGAATACATTTATATTGTTTTGAGTACTTACTAGTTATCCTGATTCTATTTGTCCTCTATTTTTAAAATAGGTTTATAAATAAAGTTACATAAGCACAATCAGTCATTACACGAGTCGTGACATTGTTCTATGTATATACCCTGTTTCATTAAGAAACAGCTCTTTCATAAAATGGCACGAAACACAGCTGCAGTTGTCCCTTTCTTCTCCATCATTTCTAATAGTTCTATTAGAACCACTATTAGAATAGTGGTTCTCAAACTTTAACATGTATCAGAATCACCTGAAGAGCTTGCTAAAACACAGACTGTTGGGGCTCCCTCCAGAGTTTCCGATTCAATAGGTTTGGGATGATGCCTGAGAATTTGCATTTCAGACATGTTTCCAAGTGACAGTGGTACTGCTAGTATGGGTAAAACACTTTGGAAACCACTGATTTAAATTCTCATCCCTAAAGGTAAATTATAATTACTAGGAGAGGCATTAATCCACTAATTAATTCCCAGGCTCCATCATCAATTGGCATAGAATGTTCGGGGCTTGAGACTGGATATCAGTATTTTTTCTTATTCTTTTTCTTTTTTTTTTTTTGGTTTAATTAATCAGTGCATTAATAATTGTATATAGTTATGGGGTACAATTTGATGTTTCAGTACATATCTGTCGTGTGGAGAGATCTGATCAGTGTATCTATCACTTCATGCACTTACCATTTCTTTGTGGCAAGAACTTTCAAAAGCCTCTCTTATAGCTGTTCTGTAATCTACAGTGTTTTACTGTTAACCATAGTCACATCATCCCACTGTGTAACAGGACACCAAAATGTATTCCTTGTATCTGTTTGTAACTTTGCACCCACTGACCAATCTCTCCCTAGTCTTCTCCCCTCTTCTCTCTTCCTCCCCCTGTCTCTGGTAGCCGCTGAAGTATCTCAGGTGATTCCAGTATATAACCAAGCCTGAGAAACAATTAAGAAAAGTCATGACTGAAAAAGTTTATTTGGTCTTACAAATCATACAATATTGTCTTAACATATTTCTCTATTATATGGGGGTCATTTTTATATTGTCACTTCATGGCAAAGAATAAATGCGATAGTATAAAGATGCCTTTACCAAGTGATTCCATAAACTGAAGGTAATTTAAGCTTAGTTTTATGCTACTAATTCCATAAAGTACTGAGAATATAAAGTAGTTATAGAGTTTTACTTTTAAAATGTTGTTATTGTAACATTTTTGCCATTAATAAAATTACTTTATGCTTCCGATCCTTAAATTAATTTTATTAGCATCATACAGACAGCAAAGATACTAGCTTCTAAAATTCGTAATTTCTTTCTTTACAGTGAAAGATGCAGATGTACTTTGTATGGACATACAGATTCTGTGAACAGCATTGAGTTTTTTCCTTTCTCCAATACTCTTCTGACAGGTTCTGCAGACAAGTCCCTGTCTTTATGGGATGCAAGAACGGTAAGCAAATCATCTACTTTTCTCCCAAGTTTTGATAAGTCTGATTACTCTTGGTCATTCTTTGGGTATTGAATGTGACTTAAAAAGTGATTGTGCAAGGGCATCCATGGCAAAAGTACAGTAAAAAGTTGATAATTACAAAATCCTTTCAATGCACTTGGATCCACTCTGCCTCCCAAATGTGATCAGGTAAAAATAATTATCTCATGAAGCATTATTTCAAAAATTATTTATTAAGATAGAAACTGCTGGTTCACAGGAAACAAAGGGAAACACACACCCTCCTCCCCTTACGGATCTTGTAGCTAGGTAAAGGAAGAGAAACGAGATTATTTTGATGAAATCAGACATGCGTTAATAAAATGGAAGACTATGTAAGTACAGGGGAAAGGAAGAAGGAAACCCTGTATCTGCTGGAAGAGTATGGATGGCTTTCAAAGGAGCCTATTCTTGAGCTAAGATCTGAGAGATAAGTAGGATGTATAGGTTATCTGGAGAGGAATAGATTCTAGAAGAGGGCAGTGTGTGCACAAAGTCACAGAGATGTGAGGCTGCAATGACAAGTTCCAACAGTAATGATATAAATGGATAGAGCTTAAGGAAAAAGAGGCATGATAGGCAGGAGTGTACAGAGAGACAAAAAAAGATCATGGAGTATTTGATTAAAGTCTTAAACTATTTCTGAGGGAATTGAAGAGCATTAAGCAAACTGGGCAACGAATCAGATTTGCCTTGTCAACTGAAAAATGACAAGATTTGCCTTGTCAACTGAAGGTTCATACATTTAAAAAAGAAATTCCTTATAAAGGGTTATAGCCTGCAGGGTGGTTGTTCTGACAAGCTGGAAAGTATAGCCTCCAGCCAGAAGCTGGAAACAGATACTTCAAGGGAGGAGTAAAGGGAACAGGAATTTATGCTGAGCTGTGTGGCCAAATATTTCATAAGCTTGAAGAGGAGTCATGATTATTGATTAAAGGTGAATCATGTACATGCACAATATACACTGATGCCCCTTCATGGGTCCCATGTACCAAAAATGGCAGTATTAGCATGATCCAAGGCTGAAGTTTTCAGCCACCTAACATCAAAAGGTGAAGCAAAGAACATGAAAACCCTTTCTGCACATGCTCCACAGCCTGGCCAGAACCACTTCATGGTCAGTGGTCTCTTATCAGGCTAAAAGAGGAAGGGCAGTATCAGGTGACTAGATGATATCAATATTGGAGTCTTTTGAAAGGGCTGGTTTTGGTCAGGCACAGTGGCTCATGCCTGTAATCCCAGCACTTTGGGAAGCCAAGGCAAGTGGATCACTTGAGGTCAGGAGTTAGAGAACAGCCTGACCAACATGGTGAAACCCCATCTCTACTAAAAATACAAAATTAGTCGGGTGTGGTGGTGCATGCCTGTAATCCCGCTACTTGGGAGGCTGAGGCAGGAGAATCGCTTAAACCCAGGAGGTGGAAGTTGCAGTGAGCCAAAATCATCCTGGGCAACAAGAGCAGAACTCTATCTGATTAAAAAAAAAAAGAAAGAAAGAAAGGATAGAGGGAAAGAGGGAGGTAGGGAGGAAGGAAGGGCTGGTTTCTGTTTAGCCCTTAGGGAAGCAAGGCTAATGGTCATTATCAAGGGAGGGAATATAAGGAAACTTGTCTGAACATCATCCTGTCCTGGCTGAGAGCTCAGTTTTCAAAGTTACTCTGGGATCCCCTCAGCTGAGAGATTCTCTGTTCACTTGGCTGGGGGAGGGCCTTACAATTTTACTTTTATTTCTCATTTTTTAGAAAGATGAGTTTGATAGCAGAGTAAGGGAGTCAGTCTTGTGAGGATTCTGATATAACAGGATATGAGTAGATGAGAATTTGAGCTAGGAAACTCTGCAGATGAAAGGAGAGAATGGATTAAAGATGGGAAGTTTATCAGAATTTGAAGAGTGATTGGAGGTGAAGATTATGGGAGGAGGAGTTTAGGGTGACCAACTTTTCCAATTTGTCTAGGAATGAGGGTTTTCTTGAGTCAAGAGATTTTCAGAGCTAAAGTTGGACAGATCTGGATTACTGTAGGTTCAAGAGTGAATTTGATTTGAAGAAAAGTGTATTAGTCTGTTCTCACCCTGCTGATAAAGACACACCCAAGACTGGGTGATTTATAAAGAAAAGAGTTTCAATGAACTCACAGTTTCTTACAGCTGGGGAGGCCTCACAGCATGGTGGAAGGTGAATGAGGGAGCAGAGGGCGTGTGCAGGGCAATTCTTTATGAAACTATCAATTCTCATGAAACTTACTATCACGAGAACAGCATTGGAAAAACTCACCCTAATTCAATTACCTCCCACTGGGTCCCTCCCAGGACATGTGGGGATTATTACAATTCAGGGTGAGATTTGGGTGGGAACACAGAGCCAAACCATATCACAAAGTAAACACAATGTAGGGACTACACTTTCAAACAGTTTGGCTGTGAAGATCAACAGAAGAGATTGTAGCTCTAAGTCCAAATAAAGGAACCTTCTTAGTTCAAATAGGTGACAGCATGTTTATTTGCTTATGGGTAAGATCAGGGGAGATGAACTGAAAATGTAGGAGAGAGAAGAGATAACACAGAGTTCATTAAGCACAGATTTTCGTAACTTGAACCATGACAATATATGTAAAACGAGGCCTCCATATTCTTCTTAGCAATATTTTATAAAGATTACAAGAAAAACAATGACTCCAGTTGACTCTATAAGAAAAGAATAAAGATTCATAATTTCTGGTTCCTGGGTCAATAAGAAAGAGAAATGTAATTTCTCCCCATTTATTTCCCATAAACAAAACATGATTGGCGTAAATAAAGGAATATGGTGATGGACATACAGATGATTTTAGCAGGGATGCAATTCAGTATGTGAGGCCCTGTTTAGACCTCAGAGACCAATTTACTTAGAATATGTGAAGAACAGAATATTCTCAGCTTCACACATTATAGAAAAATCTGAGGTAAATGTACCCATATCTTTGTCACCAACTTTACATGTTGCATCGATGTAAACTTCTGAGGAAGCAGAAGTCAAGGGGGCATTGTGGGAAGAGTACATCAAACATGACTTGAAAATAAAATCAGGATGATTTGTTGTTGGTACAAAGGTCTCACAGTCTCCTTCTTGCTTTAAAATAGCTTCTTAGACATTAATGTAGTGGAGTTTGTACCTGCTAATGGAGCTTCAGTGGAAAAGCAAGATTTCAATACACTTCACCCTAAAAACTTAGTTGTGAAGTATGTATAAAAGTGATTGCTAGAGGAATATCCATAGAGAAAATATTAATTTAGCAGTGACCTAAATTCTATTGACTTCAAGGTTTTTTTTTTTCTTTCTCTCTAAAGTGTGGTAACTGAGTGTCCTAAGAAAATGTATTTCTTATTTACTTTCTCTTATGTGAAAAACAGAAGCACTAATGCTTGGAAGTAAAACTGCTCTAATTTAAAAAGTTGCCTCTCATATATATGTGCCTTGAATGCATACAGCTGTTTATTTATGGTGACCTTCTGCCCTGATGTTGTGAGCTCTTTCTTATTCTTATTCACCATGGTATCAGGAGAAAAAGAGAGATTCAGCACAGCACAGTGCCTTCAACATAATGCAATTGTATATGCATTGAATGTAAGAGCATAAACCGTTCCCGAATCCCTTTTGTATGACTTTAATCAACATACATATTTTTAAGTTGACTTAATGGCAAATTAAAATTTATATCACTAGAATTATTATTGCAATTTTATTATTATTAGGCATGCTAGCTTTATATTAATTAATGCTAGAAAAGTGGCTCTAAAATATTTTGGTTTGAATGAAATATTATAAGTATATTATAAATGCACCATTTATTAGAAATACAGTTCATTTAATGAGTTTATTTTCTAAAAATATTTTCAAAGCAAATAGAAAAAAATTAAATGATAGCTATGTACTGTAGAAAACTAGCATGTAATACAAAAGGAAACTCGTTTAAGTTATTAATTACTAGATAATGTAAATTGTTAACTAAAATATTGATATAAAATTCCACAAGTGAAATATGATAATCCAATAATTAAACACAATCATTCCACTAACATTGTATTAGGCAGCTGTGGTGACTTCATTTCAGAAGTACCTAATTTATTAAAAAACAAAAAAGAACAAAAATCTTTGAATCACCCAGATATTTAAAAATTTGTATTTTTATATACATTGTTTTTAAAAGACAAAGACATGTTATATGTTGTCTGTCTAATATGGAATTATTAGTTTTTATCCAAATGGTCATAAATAAGTTAAAATAAATTTACCTTTTTAGTTAAATATTAAGATATTTTGAAAAGGGTAACCAGAACAGCTAGTCTTTTCTGTGCTGTAATAATAAGAACTGTATAACATATTGTTATGGACGGCATTATTTGATTTGCCCATCAACTGAATCCATGGTATAGTGACATACTTCTTCTTTATAATTTTAAAAATATGTTAATTCCTTGATACATGATATATTGTCAAGTTATACTAAAAATCTGGACCTAAAAGGAGATTAATGACTTTTCTCTGTTAGTAAAGCAGTAATAGTACATTTTGTCACCTCAATGTGATCAATTACTGTTGAGACACCCTCTAAAATATTTTTTGATGAAATGTGAAAATGACCAGTGGATTATATTCCTATAAATTAGTTTTAAACCTCCTTCTCCCACTCTCAAACATATACTATCAAACATAGAGCAGTTTTAAATCATTAATCTGCTCTAATACCTTTATTATCAAAGATAATGAATGTGGAGGCCTAAGTCAGTTTCGAAGTCAACTGGACATATCAGCTCTGAATTTTGCAGAGGATGAGGAAAGGGATATAAATCTCTATAATTACCAAAGGGAGGCTATAAAATAACTTGCAGTTTGAAAACTCATGAAATTGCTCAGTTTTACAGGGCTGCATGTATTTTTCTTCAAAGTTATAAAAGAGTAAAACTATTTTATTAAAATTGAAAA